AGTAGATGAAATGATGAACATTTGTTGTCAAGTTGTCTTTGACAATTGTATGAACTTTGACCTAAAATATTTTCGTTGGGTTTCATAAACAGACTGTTCCTTTTTTAGACAGAACAGCCGTACCAAGCATAAACAATCAACAGCAGCGACAAAAGCCTCGTTTGCCGTTCGTTTTTGTCTTTATGAGAAGCCTATACGGCTACCGAGTGCTGAATATACATACAGTGTATTCTGCTCTGTTACTAGATCGTTCACTCTGGCCGTTACCCGCACTCTGGGCAGACGCGTCAAGCTAGACGTATGGAGAGCCCATGACAGATTCTAAGAAAAGCAGTCATCATCAAACATGAATTACGAACCCAATATATGAAATATGGCTCATGAAAAAAGTAACAGCAAAGAAAAACCAAAAAGAACAACTTACTGTCCCACGGAGAGTCCAACCAATCCCTGTTACGAATGAAGTGCTCCTTCTGTGCCTTTTGGTACGCATCTTCCATGATTTTGCCGTAGCTTTGCATTTCGCCCTAAATTTGTCCGCGGGTTACAATCCTTCGGTATACTGAAGTTTCAAATGATAACAGTACATCCGGAAAATAACTGCATGAAACATCTGGCGAAGAATACCGGCTGTTTCCATAGTATGGATCATTGGCTGTTAGGAGCAGTTTGACCATAATGGGTCACATACAGCTGAACCAATCAAACGCCTACACAACTTGTAATTGGTGGGATGGCAATTTCGATTATAAGCGCCAAACGTAACGTTGCTTAGTCTGACCGAATTTGTGGCGCAGTCCAACTGGGACTGCTGTAACATCAAGCAAGTGCGGTATTCTGCTTCCTGAAGGCTACATCTATAGCAATATTTTTACACAGCTAAAGCTAGATGAAGTCTTGTTTCCTTCCCACTAAGTGGTACACTCACTCTACGTCAAAAAAAGAAAAGCGAGTGATGCAGTCAACCTTTCGACTCCGAATCTAGCATCCGACAGCTTGAGCTATCTTGTTCTTAAAGTTTCCTAGATTTCAAAATT